TCACGTTGGTCAGAACAAATGGTCCCAGTTTTTAGGCCCCGCGGCAGAGCCTGAGAATAGGCGGCGCTCACTGGGCAGACTGGGGAAGCAGATTTGTTTTCTTTAAGGAGCATCCGAGCAAACCGGGAAAAGCCGCCCGGGCTTATTCACGTTTTAACAGTTTATCCAAGGCCCCAGGCTGGAGGAACAGGGAGTTTATAGCCCACCGGTCAGAGTTTGTAAACATGCAAATAATAATCAGATCGGATAAATAAATGACCAAAAAAAAAAAAAAAAAAAAATGTGGAAAAGAAAAAAAGCAACCAGCTGAGATTGCATTTTTACATTCACTTTTGCCTTCAATAGAATAAAGTCTCCAAAGATTAAAAATTATATACATACACACAAGCACCATACTGTCCGGGAGGCAGGTTTTTATATAACCCATATGCAAACATTGAAACGCGTTTAAAATATGAAGCAAAAAAACTAATATTGCCTCCACTGGGGAAAGATAATTCCCCACGTGAACGATTAGGCCAGCACCGCTAAAAAAAAAGAAAAAAAACAGTGGCAGCAGATCGACTAAGATGAAAAGCAGTTGCACTCGTGGATTTAACTCAACATTTTTAAATTGTTTAATCCCAGTCAAGTGGGGAGAAAAAGGTGGGTTAACATCTACGGATTAGAAACTGAGCCACCAAAACCGTTGCCACTAATGAAGATCCTCCACATGAAGTTCAACAAACAGCCAGGGCTCAGGAATTTATTATCGACATGTTTAAAAGACGAAAAGAGGCGGAGGGGTTATGAGATCAAAGCGGTGGAGACGCAGGTCTGCGAGCCTCTTCCTGTTAAAACCCTGCCGAGGCAGTGTAATTCATTAGTGACACGAGGAAGTTAAATAAGGCTGTTAGGAGCTACATGATCAAAGCGGCAGAGCCACCGCATTATCTGGTCCCACCGCACAGGATAAGTATTCGGAATGTACGCTTTTTTCTTTTCTTTTCCCTACTCCTTCCGCCGCCTTTCATCCACCTCCTGAGTTTTTTTCTCTTTTTTCCGCTTTCACAACAGGCCTATACATTACAGAGGTTATCAGGACCTGTGCTAGGCACGCGAAGCAAAACATAACGCCGGCTGCAGATACAAAGGGCTGCGACTCGTCCTTTGAGAAGGAAAAAAAAACAAAAAAACAGTCGTCGTAGCTGTGGAATCCCGGCACAAGCCGGGCACACTTGGGTGAACGACCGCGCTTGATATGTATAACTTACAGTCAGGCGTGAGCTGAAAGGGAATTGGATTAGCTGCTGGCAAAATAGGGGGATTATAAAAGATTCTGACTTTAAACGTGCTTCTGGAAAGATGGATTACCATTCCAGTTTTGTCCTCCTTTTTTCCCCCTAATGCAAAGTGGAATTAATGTGCAGCAACACCATGCTCGCTGTGTCATTCTTGAGACAAAGGGAAGTGGGGGAGGAAAAGAAAAGTGTGATGTCAGTATCTGGGTTTGTGGCACGAGATAGGTAGTCTGTTCCCAGCCAGGTCTGCTCTGGTAGATTTATTTATTTATGGGACAGAAAGCATTTCCCCAAGAATAAATGAATAAAACTTCAATCCAATGGTTCATATCTGTGCAGTCGCTTTGAATGAGAGGTGTTCCGCCACTCCACAGCCGGCCAACACCGACCCTTTCTGTCCTGCCATCTACGGGCTTTCCTGTGCTCTGTTATGATTGGCAGACGTGTCTATACGCCATAAATGGCCACAGTAACAGACCGCGCTGCAGAGGATTTGGGACGAGCCCGAAAAACGCCCTTTGCTCCGTGTTTTAGGAACACATCGATGACCCCGGCGCCTCCTTCTTATTTGCATGTTCTTGAGTGGGCGGAAAACTGAAAAGAAAAAAAAAAAAAAAGAAAAACGCAACCCAGCATTTGTGCCGCAATCTGCCGAGGACACTCGGCCGAACGGCTGGCCTTGGCCGGCTATGCATATGAGCACCAAGATGACACATCAACTCTCGTCTATATTTAACTCACTGGATCTCCTTCCAATGTTCCCATCCTTTCAGAGGAGGCTGCCAGGGAGCATGGTGAGAAAAAAGCAGGCTGAGGTGATATGTAATTACACTGAATTGATCCAGCACATCCTACATCCCTTCATTGTATCCACATGCTCTTAGATAATGAAATGGAAGGCAAGTTGTTTTTGTTTTTTTTGCACCCTATTTACCACGAATCCTTTATGTCTAGCCTCTCTTATTTATAGTGTCGAAGGAAACCCTTTGCAGCTTGATTCCTCAAGCCTGCAAAGTCACGGCGCATAAATACGCGGTGTGGGTGGCAGCTCCAGTCCGATAAGGGCTTCTTCAAAAACCGGCTCTTACTCTGTTCGGAAGACGCTGTGATAACAATCACAGACAAGGTCTCTCCGAATACCCTACCTTTCATAATGAGCTAAAGATCTCATCTCACACGCCAGGATATTTGCTGAATAGAACCACGTCTGGGCCATAATATCTTTTAGACCACGGTATGCAACAATGGACGGTTGATTTTTCCCTTCTTTCCTCTGGGCTCCGATTCGCCTAAAGCTGTGACTGGAAAACCCTTTGACTTAAGAGTCAGACACCGAAGGCATCCACTCAGATGCACCCGGCTGGAGGAGAAGTTCGACTCATTCTCACCAGAAAAAAACAAACAATTCCCCAGTAAGCACCCGGCAGCAAGAGGGAAACACGAGAACTTTCAAATATTCTTAAATTAAAGGCCGCCCGGAGAGTGTAAATGAAATGTGTACATCCACTGGCTCATGTGGTGAAGAACGTCCAGCCGCATGCAGGCACAGATACAGACATTTGCATCTCAAGGACCAGACGGCCACATGGATGCCACCAAACTATTCCATCCTCAGTCTTTGCATAAAAAGGGAGCAAAGACTGCATGCAAAAGACGGGGAAAACAGCGAGATGCAAAGAAAGGAGGCCGGTGTCCTGGACATGATCTGGCCACCTCCGTCTTTTGAAAAACCTGTTTGAGAAAGTCGTGGCGGGCACAAAACGAAAGCGGGACGAGCGCCGGCTTACGTAAGAGGGGAGTGTTGTGAACGCGTCTGCTAGTTCTGCTGCTCACCTGTTCTTTTCCAGCTCGTTATGCGTCGACCTGCAAGGAGAGAAAAACAGGAGCAGTCAGACGGAGCCGGCGTAAACATCTGGACACAGTCAGACAAACAGTCAAAGAACATTATACTTATACTAATCACACTTCAGGTTTTGGGACGG